TTCTGTGTGTGTGTGTGTGTGTGTGTCTGAGTATGTCCCCACGTGTGTACGTCCGTGCGTAGTTGTGTGGGGACGGCGGCCTGTGACTGTTAGTACAAGGAGGACCATCTCGCTCCCTCCGCTGGTTAACAGAGCTGGGCGAGTACCCACTTTGGTGTGAACCGGATTTCGTGTACAGCCTGTTCCAACTGAATCATCGTTCAATTAAGAGAAAGCCGTCAAGTGAAAAGAATCTACATACCAGGTACAATCATGTTCCTTACACCATTACGCAGTCTACTGTCCAACATCTCCATGTCGGGATCGCCGGTAACGCTGCATTTAAACTACACAGATACCAAAGTAGAGCAGAAGGGAGAGTAGAGCTAGAATTGTTATAAAATGTTTCAGAACTGTTTTGTAGCTCTTTCATTATTGATCTTATCAAACCGTCGGGACTGTTCTGGGAAGATCTCTGGTACAAAGCCATAATATAGTTTATTTAGATTTCGAAAGACAAAGGACGAGTTTGTAATCCGAATTACTATGTCTAAATGAAAAGAAAACAGCGATCCGACTCTTAAAAATCAAATATTTCATATATCCGGATATTTGTCTCGGATCTGGCCCACCTTTCGCTCCCGGCCTGGCCTGGCCTGCCACCGCCTGTCGTGGCCTCGCGTCGCTCCGCCCGGCTCGAGGCGACCGATAAGGGATCTATTTTTGATTCGCATTGTGACTGAATAAAATGAAACGAGTCGTCGAACGACAGGGGGACGACGGAAAGGTGTGCTCGTCGTGTGTACTTTCGTGAAAGAGAGAGAGAGAGAAGCGAGAGAGGGAGGAAGAGCGAAAGTGTGGACAAGAACCGAGAGAAAGAAAAGAAGGAAAAACCGAAGACCTGGAAAGCCAACGACGAGGTGGTGGTTGCTTTTTCTGTATGATCATCCTCGTTAAGAAGGAGGTTGTTGGAGTATAACCAAGCTTGTCATAATAATAATATTCAAAACAGGCGATGTTCGAGGATCATCGTCGTGTCGTGTGTGTGGTAGGCTAGGCTACTACTTTTCGCGTGTTGTATTTGTGTTGGTATAACCCAGCAGTGAAGGAGTTTTGCTTTTCCATCATCTTTGGAGTTACAGCCTTCGAGCTGTTCTACTGTGGTGTGTCGCGTCTCTGGTGTGTGTTGATGCCTTTGTGCTGAGGACAGGCAGGCATCAGGTGGGACAGTTGTTCTCCTTTGGTGCACCTTAATGTGTCTAGTCTAATCGAGTGATCGGATGGATGTATTCTTCAACAGTGAGAGAGCTATAAGATCAAGGCTAGGCCTATAATTTGTTTCAACAGTTTCTCCTTTTGTTCACCTTAATGTGTCTTATCGAATGATCGGATGGATGTTTTCTTCAACTGTGAGAGCATTTAAGCCCTAAATTTGATGCTTCCGACTTCGGAGATTTTATTATCAGATGTATTATTAGGCTACTATTATTATGAGATCTATCATCATCATCAGCAGCAGCAGCAGCAGCAGCACCACCACCACCACCATCATCAACACCATCGTCATCTTCATCGTCATCATCATCATTATTATTTGGCATAGACCTATTATTCGTGTAGATCAAATTCTTAAAGAGGATTTCTTTCCTGCTCTTGCTTTGGATTTAGATAAACGAGCTTAATCTAGGTAGGCATATTATCATATTGTAAGGATAGCCCAGTTGTTTTCTTTGTCGGCTTGTGTCAAGGTAATCCTGGTTTCTGGCTTTCTCCGGTGTGGGGATTTTTGATTTGGTTTTGAATTGGGTATGTCTCGCGGGTCTCCAGCAGCGCGGAATGCCGACACCTCTGGATTGTATATGCAATATCTTGTGTGATGGCGAAAATAGTTGATGCGTTGCGTTGTCTTGTGTATGTGTTTACAAATAGAATCTAATATATGGGACCTTCTTGTCGGTGACAGAGGAATTTGTGAATGATGGAAAGGTGCGCCCCATGGGTCTACAGTTTACAACAAAGCTCTGTCTGCCCCTGGGGGGTTGTGGTGGAAGGTTGGGGGGGGGGGGCTGAAATGATACAAAGCTGCACTTTAATGTAAAGCTGCGTTTTAAGAAGTGTTGGCTATCTCCGGTTCTGGCGTTAGAGTAGGCCTACATAAGAATATCGGTTGAGACCTAAGGCCTTTGTCATTTTGTGTTTGGTTTATGGTTTAGGATAGTCGGTCGCCCAAGTTTGTAGAGACAGAACAGTAGTTGTTGAAGCCTAAACCAAATTAATTACCCTGAAGAATTATTGTAAAGTCTTACACTAAAGTACGGAAGGAGAAATAGATCTAAGGGCGGAACAGACAAGTCAATTAAATTAACAGGCTCTTCGCCAAAATAAAAATCCTGTTTCCACCGAATGTTGTGGCCTGTGTTAAACAACACTTTGCGTTTGTTGAAGGTTGCACTTTCCGTGTAATGTAAACGGAAGCGTTCACAAAACTAAAGGTGTTGGTTTACGTGGTAGGGCGCTATGGGAACATTTTTGCGGTGCGTAAACACATGATGTCTTGGTTGGACGGTCATTCTGCTTGACTGGCTGCGGCATTACCCACGCTGAGCTAGGCGAAGTCTGTGCCACAACACTATCAAAGAACTCCAGCTAGAGCGGGGCGCGGCACTGTGTGTACTGAGTCAAGAGAAGCACATTGTCAGAGTAGCAATCATTTATCATTAACTCTCTGAGGACTCGCATTCTGGTCTTTCAAGAACGCCTGAAGGAACATTGTGTTCCGAGGGACCGAGAAACACAGCGTGGTTTTATTCATATCGATTTTGCAATTTGATTTTCTTTATCTCAACTCTCACAAGTTGTAAGTCTATGCAATGATTTACTGCATCAAGTTTAGTTTAAAATATAATATGTAAACTGTATCATTTTCAGCATGTAAAGATAGATTTCAAACTACAAGCATGTATTAAAAACACTTAACTTTAATAAAAGAATGAAAATCTTGAAGACGAGGATATGGGCCTCCTAGGTTTAGTAGAGGCAAGTGTGTACGTATTGATTGACGAGGACTACAAGAACACCCCCCCACACACACACACAAGAATGCAGCATCCAGCCAGTAGACGTGCCAACTTGTAAGAGTAAAAGCTAAAATGACAAACTACAACAGGCATCATAATGTGAAACTCGCAATTCCGTCTTTCTGATTTGTTTAGTCTGCTACGTCCGTAAAGAGATTCATGCTAGAAAAAAAAGGGATTGGTAAATACACAGGAAGAGAAAGAAGTATATATATATAGGACTTTCCAGTAGCCTTGTGGCATCATCCAACCACCTGCTCTCTGAACTCCAACACCAGCCAAGCAGTGGAAAAGGAGGGGGGAGGGGGAGGGAGTGGTCATATTATACATGTCTTGGTTTAGCATTAGACTTAGATTTTAAGATGCGTTTTTTTTAGGTGTATTTGTTCGGGGAGTGATGAGGGTTTCTATAAATGTCTACATTCGGCATTAGATAAGGCTTGGATTTAAGATATGAAAATGATATTATGGGAAATGCCAACGAAAAGAGACGAGTCGGCTATGAAAAGATTTGCCGAGGTGTAAGCCCATGGGTGTCATTTACTGTCGTAGAGATACAGTGAGGTAATGCACAGGCGAAGGTCGTTGAGTAGAGCGGTTGATGTTTTTTAACTGTTCTCTACGAAGTGCGTGTGACTGTCGTCTGTAGTAAAATGTTAAGCGTCTGTGATGCACTCGCGAAAGGGCGTGAGTTCGATCCCCGAGCAGCCTTTAATGCACTTTATCTCTAGTATCAGTCCGAGTTTGCATTATGTGCTTCTTTGGATCAGGCCGCTGCGTAAAAGGTCTAGATTAAGATATAATGTCCAAACTGTGCTTATGTCGGTGTAAAATAATTCCCCCAGATTACAGCAACGTTTTCTTTTGTGGTTGGTTTCGCTTCGGCACCGGTTTGGGTCTGATTCCATTTCGTATAGGCAATACACGCTCATGAACACACACACATACACGGACACGTGCGCACTCTCTCTCTCTCTCTCTCTCTCTCTCTCTCTCTCTCTCTCTA